TTTTTTTTTTCCCCCCCCCCCCCCCCCCCCCCCCAATCACTAGCGAGCTTAAGCATGTAGGACGGGACGGCGATGGCGACGGTAAACAAACTCATTGAACCAAATGATTCCAGAATAAAACCTGTCTATTATCCATCGTATGAAAAATAATACAGTTTAAGGATCAAAATTAACACTGGGTTTATGATTGAGAAAAGTTCTAGGACCTAATTTAAAATAGCAGTTGTCCCAGTTTGAAATGTAAGCGTTGTATACGAGACGTGATAATCTGTATTGTGCCGTTGTAAAACAGAGCTACGGCAACATCTAAAACGTCCGTGAGATACTATCATTAGTACCTTATGTCATGAAGAAATATCAACGAAAGCAGCCAGGAAAGATTTTGAATAAATAATAAAACAATTTATATTGGATTCGGTTTTCGCAAGATATGAAGAATTATCAAGTCTTCAGTTTGTGTTATAAACCTCAGCCTGATAATTATTTATATCATACTCAACCTCGTTCAATAACTGTTAAATTGGGTTTTGACCTTTCTGGCTGTAGAAATGAAGATCAGAGGCCGACTCACGGATAAGATCAAATGAAAATGACAGAAAGAATTTTGCAGTTGTTTTTGCAAACCGTGCACCGTGCGAATTTTGCCATTTCACCCATTTGTCGTTGCTTCCATTTGCCAAATCAAAAGAACGAACGCGTGCTCCAGCCCGATTTCCAGCTCTGAAAGGTCCGATTCGAAAACAGAAACGCAGTCATTTCAAGACTCCGGGGCCGGAGTAAAATCTCCAGCTTGTGACGTCAGCCAACAAGTGCGTCAGCCACTCCGTTGCCATAGTAAAAGCGGTCTGAATTTCCGGTCTCTTGACTTCCGGGCTTTCATTCACGAGAAATCATTTCCTGTCTATTCCTCTAGCCATTTCAGTGTGAAACGTGACGATGTTTACATGATTACTTTGCTATTATGTAGAATTCTGTAATAAAATCTTTGTTTTTATTTTACATTCGGTATATATGGAGGCTGACCTTTATCAGCGAGATTTCAAGTGCCAAGGAATAGACGACAATGATATAAATAGTAAGCGTTCGGCGTTAGGTCAATATTATAATCGGTTCATGTTGTATTTTAATATACATTTCTAATTTGTTCTAATTTTGTTCGATTCTAGATCATCGACAAGTATACGTTGGTGTTCATATACCAATTAAACCGACTCGGGCACGTCGGCATCATCGCAGTCATCATTATCCGTCTGCGAGCAAGAATAAACCCGTGAGAAAGAGCTCAACAAAAAAAACACAAAATGGAACAGTTGGTAAGTGAATACATACATACGCCTACACATATGTAAGCGTCCCAAATGTAAAACATTTAGCATTTACTTACACAATTAAACTCTCCTTGAATCAACTTCTCTATGTCACGCCAGTGACGGTTTATGTTAAACTTTGTTTATATAAATTTTGTTTATATTCGCTGTTTAATATTGGCTGTAATTGTGTTTATATTTAGAAGACATCTTATAGGCCGTATTCTGTGGCACGATATCGTTCAGTTCCGTTGCCCGGGTTCGGGCACTACTTTGAAACAAGATAAATAATTAGGATAAATTATACAAAGTTCAAATCCGCTTGTTTGCACTTCCCAAAACCTGCAGTTTTCGAGTATTTCTTCTTCGAAAATTGAAGAAATCGACATCTTTCGCAATCGATCGCCGCCATTTTTGTTCAGGATACTTGGTGTAATAAACACTCTAAATGCCGATTTTCGCGGGCTCATGCTCATTCTTACATGAAGTTTCCAGCTTAGCTTTTGTAAACATGGCGTCTTCTGATTCATGTTTAATTCATTTTGATGGGGAAAAAGGCCCACTTACAAGTTTTAGTGTGGTTTCGTATCAAAAATTTTTAGATTGTCGTAGAATTTGGCTAACGCTAGACGGGGAAGAACGCAATGTTGCTCAAAGAAGTTTGCGGTTTGTTAGCGACAGCATGGAAGTAGCACTGTCGAAAATATCGATGCAAATTTCTCTTTATATCATCGAAGTTGTTACTCGGCATTCACAAATAGCAGTATGATCAACCGAGCTCAAGAGCGTTGTCAGAATATGGAAAAAGAAGGTGTACCTTCATCCTCTGGTCTCCATATTATTGATGAAGAAACGGAATCAGATGAATACGAGTGCGGGCCTGTGCGGCAGCTAAATCATGGAATCCCC